CGAATGACATTCACATTAAATTTGTTCACTCACATCCGCATGACCTTCGCGGGCGGACGTTCGCGCCAGCTCAGAGTTTATAGCGCGTCGGAGCAGAATACAGGACTTCTACTTGTGTCTTTCATCGTCTCCCTCAAAAGCTAACTTGACCTGATGCTTTTAGTGCTCTGAGTTTTAAAGCATTCTCCCTGGTGCACATTTAAAGTCTGCAAGGACTACAGAATTTAATCAAACCAATAGATTTTACGAGTGCTCCTTAGCTGCGGCTTCTCGCTGCATAATGTGAGTAATGTATGGAAGAATAGAAGGTGACGGATTAATTTAGGGTCCACTACAGCTTATTGAATTAACCAAATATTTGCGTGCGATAAGTAAAATGGTCCAGTAATGTCTAATTGGACACAATCATCGACTCCATAGCAAATACGTATCATCTTCATGTTTTACCTATATAGATTTGATGTGGAGATGATATAGAGGTTATACCGAGATGATATAGCCGACGGCTGTGGCTTAAAAGCTATCTCTATATCACTGCTATATTACCTTTATATAACCTCTGTACTAACTCTATACAGACGATATAGAGTCGACGATTGTGTCCAATTTGACACTATTGTGTCTTCTTCTTTCTTATTGGTTGTATTTCTCACTTTACTTATCGCGCGCAAATATTTGCTTATTTAAATAATTAGTCCTATTATTTTTATACGCCGTAGTTTATTTTTTTCTTTCTCCTGATATGCCCCACCCATTTAACCCTTATTACCACCTATCCCGTATTACCGAGGGATGGAGTTTTCGCGTACTGCTCTGCACCCTAACTTGAACTTTTACCGAATGCAAAAACTGAATTCATATGGAATAATCGATACAAATGACAACGTTTGCCATGTAGGCTAATCAATAATGTAAGCAAGTCATAACGCACCGTGAGAATCAAAAGTGGGGGAAAACTTTTAAGGCAAAAAGCGAATTGGAAATGTGTAAATTAGGCGCTGGATGTAAACTGCCATGTAGGTTAATCAATAATGTGAGCAGGTGAAAACGCACCGTGAGAATCAAAAGTGAGGAAAATATTTTAAGGCAAAAAGCGGGTGGGAAATGTGTAAATCGGGGAGCTGGATGTTATCAAAGCAAAATTAGGTTAATCACCTGCTCCCGATGTTTACATAGGTCAGATTTTAACCGCCGTGTATAGGCCGCCTCCAGGTAGCGCAATGTACGAGTTGTTCCTGCCCGAACAGGAAGTCCGAAGGATGTGTTCGGGTCCACAGAGTTACCTGTGTCAAGCAAATGTTTCGTAATAGATGAACGTGGAATTCTCTTTCCGTTTCAATAGCCATCTAGGCAGATGCCCTATAGATCTACTTGCCAATTGGCGTTGCGTGCGCCCTATGCAATTTTGCTTCCTATGTTGTCTTAACTTACTTCCATTATTGATTGATTAGCCTACATGGTAACTTTTTGCAAGTGTTTGCAAGTGCATTGGGTGAACGCAACGCCAACTGGTAGACTTGTCTAGATGGCTATTAAAACAGGAAAACAGAATTCCACGTTCATCTATTACTGAAGCTTGCTTGATACAGGTTACTCTGCGGACTCCAAAACATCCTTCCGGGTACTTGTTCGGACATGAATTACTCGTACCTTGTGCTACCTGGAGGGAGCTTATATATGGCGATCAAAACCCGGCCTATGTAGACAGTTTGAGCACGAAGTGAACTTAACTTTGTTCTGGTAACATCCGGATCCCTGATTTACACATTTCCCTGCCCTAATTTTCCTTTCCCACTTTCATTTCCCACAGTTTTCTTTTTAACTTGCTCATGTTATTGTTCAGTTTTCGTGGCCATTTTATATGGCATTGCTGTTTGCATCGATTTCTCTATACGAATTCTATTGTTGTATTCTCGCACACGTTATGCAGCAAGAGTCCGCAGATGAAGAGCACTCGCGAAATTTAGTGCTTCCATTAAAGTCTGCAGTCCTTGCAGGCGTGAAGTGACAAAGTGTTCTTAATAAGCATATATCCAAATCTTAAAAGTCAGTTTGCGGCAAACAATTGTTTTCAACAACTCGTCATCAGGCCAAACGTTCTACATAACAACTACATTTTGAATATGTAGAAAAATCAATAATTGTCTAACATGGGCGCTGATTGGCCACTGCGGACTATGTCAGTTTGCGCATGTAGGCCATGTCAGCGTGTTGGTTGAGAGACGATAGTTGGAAGGGGCGAAATGCTATCGCCACCTGGCGTCTGTGTCGGCCATGGAAGTGTAAGAGCTTGTGTCAGCGCCTTCTGACAACACAGCACTG